AAGGTGTTGGCACACGAGCTCGGACGCTCGCACAAACGCAATTGCGTTGGGGTGGAGCTGCGAAGGCGCCAGATGCAGCCACTCGAATACTCCCTTCTAGAAGTCACTAAAGGGCATACGAAGCCCCGCTTCCCGAAACGCGAGCTCGTACATCGGGAACCTCATCCCTTTGAACCTCGAGCAGATGCGATGCTTTTCTTTAGGCTTGTAAACTATCTAACTCGGGGAAGAGCCCTCGGCGCAGTCCTCGGCGGTGGCAAAGGCGTCTATGTCGTCGATGGCGAATAGCGACGCGATCTTAAGGGTTTTTTTTTCCGGCCCAATCTTCGGGCGTGCAAGCTCGCTCGACTCCGACTTGCTCGACGGAGGTATCGGACTCAGCTTCGTCATCAATTACAATGAAACAATCGATCCTTGTGGCTATTTTACTTAAAAAGCAATTCGACATCTAAGATCAAATTCACCCCTACACTGCGAATCAGGTGAAAGGGCAAAGAGAGGGCGAGGAACCGCTTGACAAACTTCCCCAACCATAACGCCCGTTGGGGGTCCCTCCTCGACAGAAAGGCTCATCCGTGTGGGGTCCCTACTCGACGCAGAGCAGCGAGCCTTCATCCTCGGAGAAAAGATCCGTCCCCGAGGAGACTCTCCTTGACGCAAGACAGCGAGCCTCCCTTCTCGACAGAAAGACTCCTTAGCGCGTAAGATCTCTCTAGTTGAACACGGGGAGCCTTCTCGACAAGAGTCTCCCTCGCAATGTTCACGCGTTCGCAGGGAGCAGAGCTCTTCGAAACCTTCATCGTAGGTCCCCGAGGTCTTCATCGTAGGTCCTCAAGGCCTTCATCGAAAACTTCATGAAGTTCCCCAAAATCCTCATGAACTTCCCGATGTTTTCATCAAAAACTTCATGAGTTTGTTGGAAACTTCATAAGTTCGTCGGAAACTTCATGAAAGTCGCCGAAAACTTCATGTGTTCCCCGGGAACTTCATGAGCTACCCGAGGATATCGCCAGAAAATGCATAAACCATCGAAAAGTTCATAAAATCTGGAGAAAGGGAGAGCGACTTACTTGAAGGAAGGAGATTCTGGACGGTGGAGAGAGGTTGATGGCGGCTGCAATAATGGACGCGCTTTGTAGAGCACACACACACACACACACACACACACACACACACACACACACACACACACATACACACACACACACACACACACACACACAGAGAGAGAGAGAGAGAGAGAGAGAGAGAGAGAGAGAGAGAGAGAGAGAGAGAGAGAGAGAGAGAGAGAGAGAGAGAGAGAGAGAGAGAGAAAGAGAATTATAAGAGACTTGAGGAAAAATGAAAGGGGAGCGTGCAAATGAAGCGAACTTTTCCCCTATTTGTAACCCTAGCACAGGAAGCGAGGCGTCAATAGGCATTCAAGTACCCCTACTCGTAGCCACCCTAGGCATTTATTACTCTTGACGCGTGGCGCTGGAAGACACCACACGTATCCTTTCAGATCCCTCTCCTGCTCGAGACCAGACGTGCCTGTTACCTTCCACTTCCGTCACATTGTCGGCCACGTTTCCCGACATTGCGCTGCCAGGAACACTTTCCCAGGAAAAGCAGGAAAAGAGCAAGGACTACATCGGACGAGCAGGTCCCCCGCGAGCTCCTACCCTGTCGAGCACCTCCTACTCCTACCTATGTGTTTCATCCCCCGATCTCAGTGTTTCGAACACGTACAACGCTCTTCTGGGCGGCTCCTTGATGCTAGAACTGCCTCTTAAGTCATTATTCTTTTACTTCGGAGCAACGACTTGGGGGCTCCTGTTCTAGACTAGGTCATAGGTTACCCCACTGTCGGGCACGACCCAACTTATTTCTTAGTCAGGGAAGGCCCAATGAGGGACCAGCTTATCACATCACATGGGGAGCACTCACGCGTCTCCCCCACAGACTCCACGTGCCCCCCACGCGGGGTCACGTCATTAGACAACTACCCATCTTCCGAAAATTACGGGGTAGTTGATCCAAGGCGAAGACCACGTGTCAGTCTTCCCTACGCCACGTAAGCCCTGACAGTTATTCGTATTGGGCCTAGCGATCCAACCCAATGCAAAGTAATCGCTAGCCCCGCGCTGGAGGCCCATTATAAATGCCCTCTTTCACTAAAGGGTCAGGTATTCTATTATTTCTACACATTTTATGTACTTGCTCTCCTTCACTCAATTCCTCACTTTGTCATCGAAATATCTCGCAGGTACACCCTCATCCTCTTCTCCACCACCAACAAATTAATGAGTTCACGACATGTCGCTGACCAATGATTTCTTTCTGATCTGATAAGATCATTGTGCCTACTTACAAGACAGGAGAATATGGAAGATATCTCCCAACTCCGCCATAACTCTTATAATATTATTTTTTTTCTTAATTTTTTATCTCCATTTTAATTTTATATTTTCATTAATTATAAAATTAATTTATAATAAAAGAAAAATGAAATTAAAAGAGAGAAATAAAAAGTTTTAAAAAGAATGGAGAGAAAAAAAAATCCATACCAGTTAAATAATATTTATTTATATAGTTTTCGATATATTTACTAAATAAGGAGTTATACATTATTTGTATTCTAAGTTAAATATATTTTTTGACTTTTGAAGTTAGATATTTTCATTTTTAATCTCTAAAAAAATTTGATTAAAGAATTATCTTCTTAATATTTTTTATCCACACTTTTAATCTTTTTGTCTAATTTCTCTAACTGAAACTGACATAACATACCACATCAACTTTTATGTTAACTTTATGTGACATGGCATACAACGTAGTAGGCCACTTCAGCTTCCGTTAAAAAAACATACGACATGAACCAAAACTGTGGATAGGGAGAAATATCTTTCACGAAAAATGACCGACCAAGGAACCACGAACATATTTAATTCTTTTTAAATTTCTAGTCCTCTTCACCCGTTACTTCATGCAAAATGGCATGAATTATGAATTTGTTTCGGTGCTGTTTCAAAACAAAAATCATAGAATTGAAGCGCTGAGTGAAAAGATACCTGATGTCAATGTCCTATCCTTCAATCCCAATACTACTAAAAGGGTGCCATCTAAAATTTTGTTCTGCCACTTAAGTGTTGTTCGGCAGACTCCAGTGCTGCTGCCTCACAATTAAGTTTGACTCTATTTTTGCAAACCTTTATAAACGGTTTAGCAGTGATCCTTTATAAGGCTATATAAAGGCCCTAAATTACTTATTGCAAAGAATACCTTAATTGGCCGCATGTATTACATCTAAGGCTATATACAATCAAAGATTATCACAAAAAATAAACATTGGAATACAAAATATTACTGCAATTATTTCTTGTCAAGCATATTCCAGCACTCTTCAACTGATTATTCTTTCATCTTGCACTTTTGAAGCTCAGATTCTTGATGTGTCCACAATGACCTCTTGTTTTATTTCAGTCTCTTTCATGATCAGCAATATAGTTTACAAACTTCAGTCATCTTTCTAGTTTGGTGATCTCTCTAATTAAAATTACACATACCTTAAGTTTTACAAGCTTCAAAAGTGTATCCATCTGAACCTTTTTTCAATCTGAAAAATAATAGTGATTTGTTTGATATATTTAGTTTTACAAGCAACCAAACAACATCATGGCTGGCCTTCACTTATTCCGTGATTTCTTCACATTTGAAGCTCATCAAAAGTTGTATTGTTCCTTGCGATAACCAACTAACTGTCATATACAAAATCTAAGGTTGAATGGATCTGTATTTTTCTTTTACTCCACAAATTTTCTTTTTTCATATATGGAGTAGTTGATTTTTCTTGCTCGCCCAGTTATTGACACCTGCAATAAGTTCATATACTTCTTGTATATACTGTTTTTCAATTTTTTTTCATATACTTCAAACACTTTCACATACTCATTGCAAATAATTCATAGATCGAAATAAAAATAAAAGCCATATATTATTATGTCAAACACCTGTTTTGAGGTATGGGGAAGAATGAAGAGAAGCTTGGATTCTTCAGCAAGCATGATGATCTGTGACTTCCATTTGATAGTCCTCAAGAGAGCATACTTTGCTCTTCCAAAATAACTTTTTATAGCTCAATTACATGGTGAAATTATTATCATTTTACTACTACTACTCTCTTCTTTATGAATTATGATCCCTAAATTCACATTATTTAAGAACAACTAGGCTCTGAGTTTTACATAAAATTGCAGTAAGGTCAATCAAAATAGTAAAACCAAGCAAAACAATATGAAAAAACAAAAAAGCTTCACTAAATTTTGAAATTCAGAGATAGCAGAATAATAGACATGATCAGCAAATACAAAAGGCACAGCATGTTATGTATGTCACTCTACATTGCTTGACAATGGTAAAACAAGAAACTTAGAAAAGCATCAATAATAGACATGAAGAAGAAATGTGGTGAATAAATAACCTTTTCAATTCCAAATAAAAAAAACCACAAATCCAAAAGAAAAAATAGCACCAATAGGCATTGGTGAAGTAGAACATGACATCAACATGCCTAACCTAAATCCATACCAAAAAAAAGTACCAGCATTCAATCCATCTGCGAATAACTCTTCAATCTCTTTCACTTGGTTATCACCCTAATTTAAAGGACATTGCGTGTGTGCCGAATTTTTGTTTAGGTGTGACACAAAGCTTCCTCCCTAGCCAGTGCAGTCCATCTCAGATCATCATTGAGGCTTTTGTACAGCATTCCTTTCAAATCCATTATATACACATGCGTCTGAAATCAGAAATGATAAAAGAATGTTAGATAACAATTTTAATTTCTTGAACATGCAAAGAATCATCGTCAGAAATTTGAAACAATAAGAAATCACATAATCCCTTAAACACTTAGAATTGAAGTATAATTGACTAACCATTTCGATATCACTTTGGACGAACGAGTGAGAGCATTCCTGCGAAAACCCAATCAGTTTTTATTCTTCCTCAAACCCTAATTAGGAATCACAGAACGGCGAAGAAGAATGACGAAAGAGATCATAAGGAGCCCACAGACTATCCAACGGACAAGGCTTCTTAGAATCGATTCTAAGCCAGGGTTTCCCCTTCCCACTCCAATGCAGAAGACTCACCGGACCAGGATGCAGATCGCGGCAGAGTCCTTCAACGTTATCACCGCCGAGGCCATGCTGGTTCCATCTATGCTCCACTCTCTCTACATTTCCGGCGAACACAAGAAGAAACGGCGGCAGAGATCCAAGCTCGTAGATCCGGCTCCGTTTCTGGATCCGCATCCAGTTCTCAAGCTTCTCCGTGTATCTTCCCTCACGCCATTTCCAAAGATCAATCACCATCACACCTGTGTTAAAGTAACACGCACCACGTCCCTTAAACGACGACGCATAAGCCGGATTCGACCAGAACCGATGCGTGAAATAGTTAGTGAAATTAGCGTGACAGTACTCCGGCGCGCCTAGCACGTGATCTCCTAAATCGATGTTCCACAGTTTCGCCACGTCATCAACCACAATTAGGTCGGAATCGAAGTAAATGATTCTCTGAGCCGTCGCCGGAACTAGATCGGCGAGGTACATCCTGGCGTAATTAAGCGGCTGATCGAGCGCACGGCGAATTGAGTACGAGATCTTTCCTCTCACGAGATTTGAATCGAAGTGGTAAATGTGGAAGTTCAGATACGGGAAAGTTGAAATGATTATGCGACGGAGCTCTTGCCGGCGGCGGTGCGTGGTTGTAACGAAGTGGAAAACTACATTCTCCGGACACGAAGCGTGTTGCAAGACAGAGAAAACACCAGCAATGGAGCCACGGAGGTAGGTGGCGTCAAGAGTCATGGCAATGTGGATGACGGATGACGTTCCACGCGGCGGACATTCTCTACCGTTTCGGAATGCTGGTGCTTCACGGAACGACTGGACTTCGTCGGAACATAACGCTGGCGGGAAACAAACCGCAGCGAAGAAGAAAAACGCGAGAGCGCGTGTAACTCGTGTCGGTTGCGTCATGTCTGTTTTAGTGAAGTAAAAGATTTGAGTGTGTAGAAGGGCAAGGAAGAAGATAAGTGTTATTTTGAAGTGTAAGGGTAGTTTTGGTATTTGGTATTTATTTATTTAGAATGAATGAACAGAATGATGGTTGGTAAGAAAGCCAGGCTGGAAAGAATAAAGACGTGGTTATCCTTTCGATTTATTTAACTTCGTAAAGCGCGATTTGTTATCGTTACTTGATGTTGGTTAAGGTTTTGTATGATCCGTGAGTAAGTTTCATGAAATGAACGGCTGTTATTTGACGGTTGGATTGAGATTGAAGATTTGAAGAGTGTCCGGTGGGATTTGTCTGCGCCTCATTGTCGCGATTCACGTGTGAATCTCTCCTTGATGACAAAATTGGGGATTGTATGGATTGATGTTTGTCTTGAGATAACCGTGCAAGGTCAATTATTTATGAGCACCGTTTAATTTTTGTATGATTTTGGTCCCATTTTGTTTATTTTTTAAAAGGAAATTTATTAATAATTTATTATAGCTACCAAAAAAAATATTACGAGTTTGAAGAGTATCATATTCATTGCTGTGCTGTGTTAATCACAAAAGGATTATAGTAAACTAGCATAAGGAATGCTAGAAAAACTGATAATACATTACAAGGCCAAAGTGACTCCATGCCAACCCCTGCACCACAAATTTCCCATAAAACAGAATAATGTCGGCTGGGAACGGACTAATTTGCAAGCATGAAAGCGCGACATGCCTGCTAAACCCGATACTCTTCAACCGAGTACCAATTGCAGACCATTGAAAAACTGCAAAACAATGCTCCCGCCTATCTGTTTGCCTCATTAGAGATAAATAGATAATAATATAGGTTTCCTTTATGTTAGTAAGCCATCTATATTAGCTGTCAAATGGTTATCTATGCTTACCTATATATAACAATCTATTGTATTGTGTTCAGCTTAATGAATCAATAACAGAATTGTTTCACTTTTCTCTTTTTCCTTTATTATAACATGGTATTTAGAGCTTCTCTCCCGATCTAGGGTTCCATGGCATTTCCATTCAGTTTTGAGGGTGTTTTTCCCTCATCTCACGTCAAACTCTCACATCTTATCTCAGTCAAATTGGATTATAAGAACTTCAAACAGTGGAAACAACAAATAGATGGTGTGATTCGCGGCTACAAACTTCAGCGGTTCGTGACGTCGCCGCTTGTTCCACTGTGATTTCTTCCCGACGTCGATCCTGTTACCAGCGGTGCAAATCCAGCGTTTCTTGACTGGGAGCAACAGGATGTGCTCATTTGCACTTGGTTGCTCTCCACTATCTCTGATTCTCTTCTTCCTAAACTCGTTGATTGTGCATACTCATGGCAGGTATTGTTTGAGGTTCAACGCTATTTCAATACGTTGCTCACCACCAAGGGGAGACAACTCCGATTTGAGTCGCAATTTGACGAAAGGATCGCGCACGATTACTGAAATTGTTGTTCGTGTTCGCGAAATCAGCGAATCTTTGGTTTTGATCGGAGATCCGGTTCCTCTTCGTAATCTCATTGAAGTTGTTCTTGATGCTTTCCCTGAAGAATATGATCCAATTGTTGTTGCGATGAATAGTAAAGAGGATTTGTGTTCGCTGGATGAACTCGAATCAAGCCTTCTAGCACATGAATCGCGCATTGAGAAAAATCGAAAAGCTGTAGTTTCTGAACCTGTGTCCGTGAATCTCACTCATGCTCCGTCGTCTTCAGCATCGCTCTCGACGGAGGTATCCAGTGCAGATTTGAACCCTAATTCTCCTATTGGAACTAGTCATGTGACGGAAAATGCTGAAAATCATGGCTATGGTACACGCGGTGGTCGTTCTGGTCGTGGTGGCGGCCGGTTTGGATGTGGAGGTGGTAGATTTGGAAAGGTCTCATGTAAAATTTGCCACAAGATTGGACATGACGCGTCTGTATGCTTTCATAGATACTCTTACTCCGGTGCACCTTCCTTTGTCACTCCACGCGCTCCCTTCAATCCATTCATGGTAACTCAACACCCTTCGTATCCTCCATCTTTTGGATATGATGCTGCTCCAAGGCTATCACCGCCTAGGCATCCTCAACCTCAGGCTTTCCTCACAGGTTCAGATCCTAACTTCAATAATCAGTGGTGGTATCCTAATTCAGGGGCGTCTCACCATGTCACATCTGAGGCTTCAAATGTATTTGATGCATCGTCGTTGTCTGGAGCTGAACAAGTATTCATGGGAAATGGCCAAGGTTTGTTAATTAACTCTGTAGGTTCCATGAAATTTCCCTTAGCCAACCCTTCTAATTCATCTCTAATGCTGCACAATCTTCTTTTTGTCCCTCACATCATTAAAAATCTCATCAGTGTAAGCAATTTTGCACAAGATAATCGAGTTTTCTTTGAGTTTCATCCTCAAATTTGTCTTGTCAAATTGCAGGATTCCTCTGAGGTCCTTCTTCGTGGCACTGTGGGAGCCGATGGACTCTACAGATTCGCCAATCCTGCTTCATCCCTGTCTCAATTTCATAGTCCTAGTGCTTGTAATAATCTTAGTTCATCATGTAATTCAGTTGCTACTTGCAACTGTATATCTGTTGTTGATTCTTATAATAATAAAAATGTTTCTGTTTCCGGTTGTCAAAATTCTCCTATAGCTAATGTCTCTACTGCTCATACTCTTAACTCATATCAAAGTGTGCCTAGTTACAAATCCATATCTAACAATAAATATAGTGTGTGGCATACAAGACTTGGACATCCTCATCACCGAGCCCCTTTGTCTTCTTGCACTTGAGAATGTTAGCACAATATGGCCAAAAGATCTCGAAAGAATATGAAAGAGAACTTGGTGAATCCAACATCCCCTTGGGAAAGTTTCATATATTCTTCCATTGTGTTTGTGTTTACCAAAGAGGGTAGTATGGATAAGGCTTTCCTTGAAGTGGAGGAATCGTCACATTAGGGTCCCACCATTCTTTTTTAGGATGACAGAATATGTAGTGAGTATGGTGGCTGCACCATTCCCTTATTCGAGTATCTCTTATCAACCCTAGGTATTCGGCCGCCCTTTACCTCTTTTAAGATAAGTGTTTTCAACCACTTGATGGTGGCCTGTTCCAACTTCACCTATCAAGTTGGGTGTACATAAAGGTTTACCAATACCGGTGTGAATACTTAAAGGGGAACCCTTATGTCACCTTATTTTTCATTTTAACCAAATCTCATCGTGGCACTACGGCCCTACCAAGTGTTGTATTGCTGCAAAAGAATGGCCGACAAGGACAGAAGAGTCACCACCGTTCGTTATTTATCCCAAAAGAGGGAAAGGAAGCGATAAGAGAAAACCTATGAAAAGGGGAAAAGACAGGTCATCACAACCAAATCTCGGGTTCGGGAGTCGGTTACACAAGGGGAAGGTATTAGCACCCCTCACGTCTGTCGTACTCGACGTGATCCACGCTTGTTGTCTATCTAAAAGGGTGTTTATCTATCTAAGCTACAGGTTCACAGGAAAAAAGAAAAGAAAAGAGACTCGATAGAGCATCGCCGCTCTATGCCTACATACTCCCTCGTGCAATGGGAAAGTCAGAGTCAATGTAGTTCAAAAAACTACGGGTGAAGGTGGGGAAGGTTGCTCGCCAAGACATCGTCGTCTTGTGCCTACGTATCCTCGTCTGGTACGAGAAATCAGAGCAAACGTAGTTCGGGGTAACAAGACCATAGGTTGGTTTAAGTGTTTTACCCGAGTAGGGTTAAAACTTAGTTCTAGCAGTTAGGTGTATACAGCTCGACCATTGGAGACTTAGGCGTTACCTATTTGCAGTAGAACCAAGAGTTAACAAAACTCTCCTTATGAAAATGGTTTCCAAATTAATCCCAAAGGATAAAGATATTTTATGTTTGTTTTTTGAAGTCTTTTATGAAGAAGTGAATTGAATTGTGTTTGTAGTTCATGTTGCACTAAAGACTATGACTTAGGAGCGAATGCGTCGCATATCGTCCAAAGGACATACGCTAAACACTCTAAACAATTGAGAGGAGGCCCCCCAATCATCATTTCCCAAATGCTTAAGGCTCGTAGCGTACAACATTCATTATCCATTACTAAGTGTCTTGAAGAAGTTTGGAGATGATAAGAGAGAGACACAACTCTAAAGGGAGACTAGACTCAACCTAATGTTCTCATACAAAGTGCACCTATGATTGGGATGAAAAGGGAATACTACTTAGTGTTATCATGCATGGATTTAAACCTAAGGTCTATCATAATCCACCTTGGACAAGAGGGATTAGAGGTCCTAAGGGAACATGGCAAAGAAAGAGGAAGAATAAAGCATAAGATAAGAGAAGAAAGGATGCAAACATGTAATGCACAACAAAGATGAAGAAAGAGGGAGGAACAAAGTGTGGGGCAGTAGCCTCCACAAGCACATCTCAACCTAAAGCATGCAAATGAGAGATGCAAGACCAAAGAATGAAAGCACACAAAAGAGCATAAACAAGTTCACACCAAAAGAAAGTTCTCAAAATGGCCTCTCATCCAAGTCAAACTCAAAGTGCAACCAAGAAGCACCAAATCAACTTAGATGAGTCCCCAAAGTCCTAGGACAGAAATGAGAACAAGAGAAGAGGATAGGAAAATTCAAGAAGGAAGCAAGCCAACACAAGTTACAATAAAAGGCATGGTAAAGGACCTAAGTCCTAAACACTCTCAACATGAGAAACCACATGGAAAGCCTAAAAATAATGCAACCTAGCACAAGAACAAAACAAATTTATGACCTATAAATTGGCCTCCAACAACTTCAACATGTTAGTAATGTGAATCAAGAAGAATTGGAAGCATTTGGGATCCACAAGGGTCATTTCCCATCAAAACTAGGTCAAATGTGTGTGTGAACCATCCTTAGAGGTAACTTGATTTGCAAGGTACACCAAAAATAGGAAAAAGGTTCAAATAAATCCAAATAAAATGTCAAAAGCACATAAGGA